TTCCAGAAGAATAAACAAATCCATTTTAGAAGAAATACAACCAGAATATTCCATAGAAGCCACGATTGCTAGATGGATTACTTTGCATGTTTCATCAGAAATCACTAGGTGCAAGAAAGAACATCATGTTTGCTAAAATAGATTCAGTACAACTAAATAGAAAACTGTAATGTAAGCAAAATGGTTAATGAGATGTAATGGTACAATGGCTACAATAATATGCTCAAACATATCAATAACCATGAAATTACACAGGGACAGGCAAGATTTTTGTGATGGTTAACTTTACATGTAAACATGGCTAAGTTACAGATACCAATAGTTTTACAAACATTATTGTTAGGTGCCATCAAGTCGAGTGTGACCCATAGCGACCCTATGAACAGCAGATCTGAACCCCATTCTATCTTCACACTTCCTGACACTCTAGATCCCATTGCAGCAGTTACCATGTTAATCCACCCGGCAGAGGGTCTTCCTCCTTCACTGACCCTCCACCCTTCCAAGCATTATGTCCTTCTCCAAACAATAGTCCCTCCTTGCAACATGTCCAAAGTATGTAAGGCAAAGCCTCATCATGCTTTCCTCCAAAGAGCTCTCCTGCTGCTCTCTCTCCAAGATGTGTTTACTTTTTCTTTTGAAAAAGTCCATAGGATGTTCAGTGCTCTTCTCTGACACTACAACTCAAGGCATTAATTCATAGCAAGCGATCAGAAAAACCATGCTAATTTTGCATAATGTACTCTAGTGCAATGTAATCAATCAGTTTAAAGGGAGGTCCACAGCATATGCTCTACCATCAGTCTATAAATACTTTGGTAAAATGCATGCCTCCCTCTCCTGATTTCTTTAAAGGACAGAATTCTGAAAGAAACAAGAGAAAAACTCAATGTAGCACAACAAAGGTCTTTCATAAGACTCAGTCAATATTTTCTCCCAAAAAAATTAGAGGCAAGAAGACAATGAAGTGGTAAATAGAAACAACTGAATTAAAATATTTGCCAACCAAGAATTCTCTAAGCAGCAAAACCATCAATGAAAAGTTTGGAGAAAATACACAGCAAACCTTATTAAATAAAATATATCTAAATACTACAAACTGTTTTCTCAGACAACAATACTACAAAGTTATAAATCAAAAATACTTTGAGCAAGGAAAAAAACAAGAACATGAAAACTACATAACCCCTTTTGAAGGGTAGAGGGTGGGAGCGGTACAGATTGCCCATCCTCCGCAAACAGCTGATGGATTTGAACTGCATGATTTTAGGACTGCAATGCAGCTTCTTACCAGTAGGCTACCTGTGATAAAAGAAATATAAATATTTCTTGAAGCAAATGAACATGAAAACACAGCATACCAAAATCTTTGGGACACTGCAAAAGTAGTACTCAGGTGTCACACATATCAGGAAGAAAGAAAGAACCAAAAGTAGCACCTTAACCCAACATCTCAGGCAATTAGGACAAGAACAGCAAAAAAAGACCTACAATTTCCAGAAGAACAATAATATTGCTAAAAGCAAAAATAAATGAAACAAAAAAACAACCAATAAGAACACAAATTACTAGGCTACTAGAATTGACAAGCTTCTGGCAAATTTAACAAAGTTTTTAAATTTTTCTTCTTAAAACATGCAAGTAAGAAAAATAAAGAAGGAATTGGGGAAATCACAAGAAAACAAGTTGAAACAAAAAGGGTTAACAGAATAATTTGAAGAATTATACTCCAATTAATTTTTAAAAACCTACAGCCAGAAAAGGACAGAATAGATGAATAGGACCTTCTAAGAATCAAATCCTTATGCACATCCAAAACTTCTCCAGCAGAGTAAAAAGGGAAGCCACAGACTGGCAAAAAAATTTGGTACTGATATGCCAAATAAGTGTTTTATATCTAGAATTTATAGAATACTCGAGCACCACAACAAGATGGTAAACTACCCAATTGAAAAATGGGCACAGGATATGAACAGACATTTCACCGAAGAAGACATTCAAATGGCAAACAAACACATGAAGAAGTGCTCAAAATCCTTAGTTCTAAGAGAGATGCAAATCAAAACAACTATGAGATATCATCTAACCCCAGTAAGAATAGTAATATTCAGCAGAGCAGCAAACAACAAATGCTGGTGAGGTTGTAGAGCAATTGGAACCCTTATTCACTGTTGATGGGAGTGTAAAATGGTGCAACCACTATGGAAGATAGTATGGAGCTTTCCCAAAAAGTTGCAAATAAGGAAGCTCTGGTGGCCTAGCCATCCCAGAGGTGCGTGGTTTGAATCCACCAGATACTCTGCTGGAGAAGGAAGGACAATCTTCTCCTATACCAATCAGATCTGGTTTGATGGTACCACACAAAAAAAAAGGAGAAGAGAAGAGAAGAGAAGAGAAGAGAAGAGAAGAGAAGAGAAGAGAAGAGAAGAGAA